GAAGGGATTCAGGCAGCTGGCATCAGCCAATGCAAATACCTGTGGGACAAAACCCAGTGAAATCTGCAGGGTGTTCTCAGTGGCTGTGCTGGCCATTGGTTTCTTCAGTGATGGAAGCTGCTGAGGTCATCTGTGGAGCAGGTCACAGGGAACCATAGTGACTCAAGCTCTGTGGCTGATATTGGTAGCACCTGTGCTTCTTCCTTTTTCCTAGCTGTATTTATAGGTGTCAGCTTTACCTGTCTCTGGGTGGGGTGAAACCTAAGTAGATTCTTTATAGAGTGGAGGAAAGGCTGGGTGAGCTGGTTGCTGACCCTACTCTTTTCTTTTCTTTTTTTTTTTTACCGGCCAGGGGAACTCTTTCTAGCTGGGGAGTTCCCATTTGGTGCTAAGTAATGCTGGCTTGGGGAATAGGATAGTGCAGGCACAAAGAAGGTTTTCTTCCTTTCATTTTTATGCAGTTATTCTTAAGTTTTTTTATTTCAGTGTGTGGCTGCAGTTTTTAAGTAGAATCTGGAGCCCTACCTGAGTTGTTTTCATTCATGGACAGCTGTTTAGTGGTTGATCTTTGTGGAGAGATGGAAGCTTGGGTCTCCTACTCTGCCATTTTGGTGATGTCCTTAAACTCTTGTCCATATGCTCTGGGATACATGTACAAGCATTTTCATACCAAGTTTTTGTTTTTTGTTTTTTGTTTTTGTAATAGCCCCCAAATTGAAGATTCCAAATATTTGTAGAGTGGAGTAGATAAACAAATTGTGTCCTGTTCATGCAATGGAAAATCATACCCTAATGAAAATGAAATGGCTACTCATAACACCATTAATTTTTCAAATGTAATATTGATTGAAAGAAGCAAGTCATAAATACAGGGAGTATTTTCATTTGTAAAAAACTAAAAGCTGGGAAAATTTAAACTATGTTGATTAAGGATATTAACAAAGATGGAAAAGATATAAAGATGAGGAAAAAATGGGATAATAGGCTGAAGGAAAGGGTTGTGAATGGGGAGGGACACATAAAGAGCTTCTGGGATATTGGCAATCCCAGGCACCCAGTTGTTGACCTTGAGTGGTGGTTGTGTGGATACTTGCTTTGTAATTATTCATTAAACGGTAAATATATTTTTATGTATGACTCAGTAAATATGCCAAAGTTCATGATTATAAAATATAAAATAAAACTAAGGGGGTTAATTTATCTTGAGACTTTTAAAGAATGAAGTAAAGCCCAGAAACTATAAAAGAAAAAAATCAATAGATTTGACTAAGTATAAAAATTCTGTACATTTGAAATAATCCATAAATATTAGTAAGTAAATAATTAATAGCAGACGAGAAGATATTTGTTACACATTATATAGTAGTATTAATTGGCCCCTACAAATGAATAATAAAAAGTCAAACAATTCAGGAGAAAAATGAACAGACATATGAACAGGCATTTCACAGAAGCAGAAATAAAAATGTCCAAAAACAAATTAAATGAAGCTTGACTTGATTAGGGATCATGGAGATGAAAATTAAAATTACGGGAAAAAATATTTTATTTATAAGACAGTATTGAAGTTAAACATTAATAACAACTAATATTGGTGACCATATGGAGAAAAACTCTGTCATACTTCATTGGTTTGAATGAAAATAGTTCTCAAATTTATGGAACTCACTGTAGTATTATCTATAAAAATAGAAATGTGCATACCTTAACAATGAACACCTTTATTTTTAGGAATTTGTCTCAACAGACATACTGGCATGATGTATTAGCAGTTTTAATGGACATATAGTATTCTATTTTATGGTTATGTCATAATTTATAATTTTCCCAGAGATGCTCATATAGATAATTTTTATATTTCTGTTTCTACAAGCAGTAATACTCTTAGTATATTTGTATAAGCAAAACCATGGAAACAACATGCATTTTAGGACTGACTAAATGAATTATGGTCAATTCATAGCAATGGAATGTTGTGTAGCTTTTAAAAAGAATAACTTTACATAAACTGCTTAGAAACATTTTCCTTGACATTTAAGGGGATAAAGCAAGATAAAAGCATTTTATATACATTTTTGTCCCATTTTTATAATCCATCTATGTGCATGAATCCTACATGTTAGCTGTTTCTCAGACCTCTTCCAAAGAGGGAAAAGAAAACCTGTCAACTGATAAGTAATATGCATTAATTATTAATAATTTGTATCAATTAATAAAATACTGCAGCTTCTATAAAAGAGATAAAAGAGGTCCACATTCCCCCACAATATGCAGCTAAATCTCCCTTTCCCATTTTAGCTACTTCAAAATTACTTCATAGGCCACTTTGGTAACCAGGGGTACTCTTCTCTGGAAGAGGATCTTCACCAGAACATTTCAGTAAGAATAAGAAATGGGGGCACCTGGTTGGCTCAGTAGCATGTGACTCTTGATTTCAGGGTTGAGTTTGAGCCCTACATTGGGTGTAGAGATTACTTAAAAATAAAAAAATCTTAAAAAATGAAAGGGGGGAAATTGGAGGGGGAGACGAACCATGAGAGACTATGGACTCTGAGAAACAAACTGAGGGTTCTAGAGGGGAGGGGGTTGGGGGGATGGGTTAGCCTGGTGATGGGTATTAAAGAGGGCACGTACTGCATGGAGCACTGGGTATTACACGCAAACAATGAATCATGGAACACTACATCAAAAACTAATGATGTAATGTATGGTGATTAACATAACATAATAAAAGAAAAAAAATAAATGGGTTTCCTGATCTCTTATTTTTTGGTTTTCAAATTATTCATAATGAGAATTTGAGGAAGAACAATTGGTTGATTCCTCAAACTATTCCACCTGGTAATGGAAGTATAATGTTTCCATCTATACATTCTATGATACTGAGTTGAAATTCCTAAATTAGTGGCATCACAGATGGAGGCCCGTGTTAGTCAGTTTAGGCTGCTATAACAAAATACCACAGATTGGGTGACATACACAACAGAAATTTATTTCTAATGATTCTGAAGGCTGAGCAGTCTGAGATCAGGGTTCCAGCATGGTCAGTTCTTCTGAGAGCCTTCTTCCTGGTTTGCAGATTATCCTCAAATGATGGAAAATAGAGAAAGGAAGTAGTCTCTCTCCTGTCTCTCGTATCTCATGTGCCTAATGATTTAATTACCTCTCAAGGGCCCCGTCTCCAAGGACCATCATACTGGAGATTAGGGTTTCAACAGATGAATATTGGTCCATAGCAGGGCCTTTTCTCCCTTCTGTGAACTGTACTTTCAAATTGTGACAGAAATAACAGTTGATGTTCTTTGTAATCCTTTACCAAATCCAGGGCATAATTTTAAATGATGCCCTATGCTATTATCAAATTAATCTTAATTTGATATGGTATAATATTTTATAAGACTAATTATTTGAGAGAGAGTGTGAACGAGGGGTGGGAGGGCAGAGGGAGAGGGAGAAACAGACTTCCCCTTGAGCAGGGACCCTGATGCAAGGGCTTGATCCCAGGATCCCAAGATCATGACCTGAGCTGAAGGCAGACACTTAACTGACTGAACCACCCAGGTGCCTCATATTTTATGCATTTTAAGTATTCTCTCTTGCCTATAAAAAATTCTAAATTTGATTTTTCTAAAGATGACTCCTTTTAATACACATTTTGAATGTTTAAGGAGTATTCACTCTCCTAAAGCGAAGCCTCTAGTTTACTTCGTTTCTTTATATACTTATTTTATTTTTAAAAGATTTTATTTATTAATTTGAGAGAGAGAGAGAAAGCATGAGTGAGGGGAGGGGGCAGAGGGAGAGAGAGAATCTCAAGCAGACTCCCTGCTGCCCAGGGAGCCCGACTTGGGGCTTGATCTCATGAACCATGAAATCATGTTTACTTATTTGGTTCCCTTGATATATGTTGCACATTTCTACTTCTCCTATCTTTATTTATGATTTTGCTGTTTTTTTCTAATAAAACTCTATCCATTCTTTAAGGCTCAGCTGATTTCTATCCTCTTCCTTTCTCTTCTCAGTGCCTAAACATTTATCATATTTCTCTATATCACTATTTTGACATGTGGAATAGAAAAAAATATAATTGATATTTAGGAACTGTGGACTACTTCCATGTTATTTAACATTATCTTTGTACATTTCATGTTTGGTTTATCTAGCATCAAACTTAATGAAGTTTGTCTTCTGTCATATACTTTTTGTGTTACAAGATTGAAGAATCTTGTGTTATTACCCTGAGACTTCATTGATTACAATGGATTCTCATTATGTTGTTTTCCTTTTTTTTTTTTTTAAGATTTTATTTATTTATTTGCCAGAGAGAGAGAGAGAGAGAGCACAAGCAGTGGGGAGTGGTAGGAAGAGGGAGAAGCAGGCTCCCTGCTGAGCAAGGAGCCCAATGCAGGACTCGATCCCAGGATCCTGGGATCATGACCTGAGCTGAAGGCAGTCGCTTAACCAACTGAGCCACCCAGGCACCCCTATGTTGCTTTCCTTTTAAGTAGCATTTTAGTTAACCTTTTGGTTATTTGATTCAGGTGGAAAACTTAATCGATTGTTGGATCTTCACATAGACTTTAATGACTTAGCAGCAGCAACCAAAGCAGTTTTCTCTTAGCATCTTAGAGTCCTCTTATATGCAATGTTATAAGGAGGTGACACATACTGACATCAATCCAGTTTTGTCACTTACTAGATGCATAGTTTTGATCAAGTTATAGAACCTTTCTAAGACTCAATTTATTTATTTGAAAATGGTGACAATATCTTTTTTGAGGGTTATTTTGAGGATTAAGAGAATGGTAAAGTAGCATAGTGACATAACGGGACTTTAATAAAATGGTAACTATATTTATCATAAGCATTTGTTCCTTGAGTACTGTCTCCTCGTTATGTTCACTAGTTCTCACACATACAGCAGTGAGTTATATCAGCATAGAGGTATAGTTTTAGCCATTTGTAATACCTTTACATTTTTTCCTTTTTCTTCATGGTAGAAACTGCTTACTCCCTGAGGAAGCGATTAGATGTCATGTTGAAAATATTTGAAAAACAGTCAAATATGTTGGAGAGGTAAGCTTTTAAAATAACTCCTTTTCTTAATTATGAAAATGAGTAGACATGTATTTTAGAAAAATTGGAAACATAAATAAGACCACTGTTAAAAAAAACTTTAGTGTTCTTATGTCAATTTTTGTGATATTGTAATTTTAAAATTATAATCATGCAGAATATAAAATTGTATAGCCACAATGGAAAACAGTATGTCAGTTTCTCAGAAAATTAAAAATGTAATTACCATATGATCCAGTAATTTCATTTCTGGTTAGATACCCTGCAAAATTGAAATCAGGGTCTCAAAGACACTCATGTTTACTGTAGCCTTATTTACAATAGCAAAGGGTGGAAGCAACCCAAGTGTCCAAAACCAGATAAATAGATAAATAAAATGTGATACATACATACAATGGAATATTATTTAGTATTAAAAAGGAAGGAAATTCTGACATATGGTACAACATGAATGAACCTTGAAGATTTTATGCTAAGTAAAATAAGGCAGTCACAAGAAGACAAAGTTATATGATTTCATTTATATGAGGTACCTAGAATAGTCACTGTGAATTACCCACAGTTCTTTCAGGTGACTAAGATTAAATTAGTAAAAAACTTGCATGTTGAAAAAGTATGTCTTGTAGAATGAAATCACAAATCAACTTTTATCTGGACACTTTTGGTTCATTTATATTTGCTAATTGAAGCTTATTTCCCCCCTGCTCCTGGATAAAAACTAGGGTAAATCATGACTTTTTTGATTACTCTCAGATAATAATTAATTTAAATTTAATTTAGAAGCACTGTCCTAATTGGGAAATTAAAATTCCTTGTCAAATATTACAGTCAATATTTTAATTTTTATTCTAAGTTAAAATGTCCTTTTCCTCCTACCTAGTATACCAGCTGAAAACTGCTAGGGGTTATGATTGGCTTTTCTCTTTCATTACCTCCTTTCCAACTAACTAGTTGTAGTTTCTGTTCTCCATGTGTTTGGGAAGAGAGGGAATAAAGGTATAAGGTATACAGGAAAAGTCTTACTTGACTGTCACTGGCTTCCTTCTCCATAACTATAGATAACACCAAATTTTTAAGTATTCTCCTTAAAGTGCCTCTCACTAGGCTTGAGATCAGGGCAAGCATATCCTTCTGTCCCTTAAGGGTTTGTATATGGCTCAAGGCACCCAATAGCTCTCTGCAGAGCAATACTCTTTCTAAATCTTCTTTCCTGACCCTTTTTATACTGTCCATATCAATGAAAGGTTTTAGTGCTCTTTCTTGGCTGCCTCCTTTTTTTTTTTTTTAAGTGCTAATGGTCATCTGCCTCACCCATTACTTTGGCATGTGATACTGGGAACTTAGGGTCTCCATTGATGCCTCCTTATACAACTTGTTACAGTTACATCCTTGAAAATTCTGTTAAAATAAAGATAGGGTGTGACAAAAGGCTTAGTGCAGTTTTAAGATTTAATAACCTCAGAACTAGGAGGGAGGGAAGATGGTGGAAGAGTAGGGCACCCGCATTTCATCTGGTACCTTGAATTAGCTAGATAGCTATCAAATCATTCTGAGCACCTGTGAATTCAACCTGAGATGTAAGAAAAGGATTGCTGCAATTCTACAAATAGAAAAGTGACCACTTTTTGCAAGGTAGGAGGTGTGGAGATGTGAATCTGAGGGGATATATTGGAAGATAAATCATGGGGGGAGAGAGCCTCTGTCAGCAGGCTACCAGAAAGTGATATAGCAGTGGAGCACAAAATCGGAACTTTTAGAAGTCTGCCCCTGTGAGGAATGACCCTGCCTGAAATGTGTTCAGGTGGTGAAGTGGGGTGGAATCCTAGGTGGGACAGTGTGGTCTCAGGATCCCCAGGGTCTCATAAAGAAAGGGGAGGCCTAAATGTGGCAGAGTTTCCAAGCATTGGAGCAGGGAAGCCGGCTACAATTAGTGAGCCCCCGAGTGGCCTCTCAGCTAGATGTTGCCATAAACTGCGAACCACAGCACTGTTGGGGACTGCTGTCAGAGTAGGGGCCCTGCAAGTGACAACCACTGTGAAATCCAGCTCTTTCCCCCCTGGAGGAGCAGTGGGAGTGCATGCACAATTGGGCAAATGCTCCCTGAGAAGGGGCCCAGCAAGCAGCAGGGTGGTGGTGAGACACCCCTGCCTCCCCTGGGAGGATTGGTGTGGGTGTGCACCACAGGAGTCGGGGAGTTTGGCCCACATGAAAAAGGGATTGACTGCCTTTCCCCGAGGGTGCACTGAGGAGTGGGGGCCAGGACCTTTCAGCTCCAGGACTGGAGATTGGGGCACCACCATTTTTTACTTTTTTTTTCATCCTCTAAAGTAGTACAAAAAGCCTTCAGGGAACAAAAGCCACATAGTACAACCCAAAGCAGCATACACTGAGCCCAGGCCCCTGGCAAGAGGCAGTGCAACTCTGCCCAGGCAAAGACACCTGAGAATCAGTGCAACAGGCCCCTCCCCCAGAAGACCAGCAGGATCCTCAGGCAAATACCAAGTTTAAAATTCCTGTGCTAGGGGAAAATAGTATAAAGAATTGGAGATTTTTTCACATGAGTCTTTAGTCTTTCGGTTTAAATTTTTCTTTTTCTTTTCCTTTTCAACTAGTTTCTTATTTTATCAACTCTTTGTTTTTAAGTCTTTTTTTAATTTTCATTTTTACATTTACATTTTATAGATATATTCTTCATTTTTGGCTTCTGTTCACTGTATTCAATTTTATTTTTGTATATATATATATATATATAAATTTTGCTTTCTTTACAATTTTGGGATTT